TATATTATTATGTATAATTTCATTTAATATTTACGATATCATTTATATCTTTTTATTTAATAATACATTATATTATCAAATTGTTTGTATTCTAACATGTAAATAATACCAACTTCTTTATAAATATGTACTCCTCTATTACAATAAATGATGTCTAATAATCATAAATAATAGTCTTTGACATCCTTGAAGTATTGAGTAAGATGTTTTCTGACCAAAGACAACACAATAACCAATAGGTAATTCAATGACTTTATTTATTTTCATGTTTGTGTGGTGTTTCTGATATGCAACCTTAGAATCAAAAGAAATAAGATTAAACGAATAAATAAAATAAAAATAACAGAAAAATAATTAAACCTCAAAAAAATTTTGTTATAGTTAAATTTATTAAATAAAATTATAATTTTAATTTAATATTATCAGTTAACGCTTGGAACAATACATTGTTTGAAATGGTTAATTAACGTTAAATGAAATGATAAGTCTTATCTCTTAGACAAAAAATTTCATTGATAAAAAGTAATAGAAATTAATAAAATTCTTTCACCGAAATAATTTGTTCAAATATAAAAATTTTAATCTTTCTTTTCTGTTAGACACTGATAAAAAACCAAGAAAAGACAAAACGAAATCTTAAAAATTTAACTTGATGGGAAATCAACCAAGTGAATCGCTCTCATTTCAATGGCAATCACGACTAACAAGAAGTAGATCATCATTGATAACAAAACCTGGACAATTACCAAGATTTATTCTCATAAAAATTATACCCTACTTGAAAAATATTTCCAATGTATTACACTTTGGAGCAGTTTCTAAGAAATGTGCAGCAGCAATCATTTTTACAACAATTAATCCATTTTTTAGTTCAGAAACATTAATTTCTGAATTGAAACTATTTAGTGGTATTAAAGTCATAAGAACAGATATATCAAATGCTCTTAATTTGTCACTTCCTCAAGATAAGCTATTAGAAATTAAAATGAGTTACCATGAAATAGAAGGAGAAATATCTTGGAAAAAAATAACTAATGGAATAGTTAGTTTAGAACTTCAACTTTTCAAAGAAATAGAAATTGATTTTAAGTCTTATAAAGAACTTCAAAAAGTTAAATTCATATTTTGGGATGACCTTAATGAAAAGTATTGTGAGAAATTTATAGAAAGTATTATTTATTGTGAGAATTTAAAGGAATGTATTATTGAAGTTGATGAACATTTATTGAATATAATGAAATATGGAATTAATCAATTAATTAATAAAGGAGTTATTGTGATATTAAAAATACATAATGCAAAACAAGTATTATTTGAAATTAAAAACAATCCTAATCTTCATTTGTGTGCGTATTCAAATGAATTACATAAAAGTATCATTGATGGATCTACAATTCTACTACCAGATGATAAAAGATTAGAATTAAATGTCTCATTAGCAAGCTGTGAAAGTTCTTTACACAAGGTGATTGATGCATATTATCCAACGTCAATATTTATTAGAGGTAATACTGCTATCCCAAATAATAGTAATAAAAGTTTTTCTAAAAGAACACTAGACAACTCTTCTTCTTCACCAATCATACAATCTTTAGATTTATCTCCTTTTTCTTGTCTTGAACAAGTCACACTTGAAGGAATTAAAATAGTGAACCAAAAACACTTTCTTTTACCAACATCTTTAACATACCTTTCATTGTGTGACTGTGAAGACGTTAAATCAATCATCATTCCATCATCATTAGTACAACTAAATTGTTCTAATTGTACTTCACTTTCTTCATTTCAAACTAGTACTGATCCTAAACTGAAAATTCTTCAAATTGACCATTGTAATTCCATTAAATTCATTCATTGTCCTAACTCTGTTAATCAAATAGAAATTAAATACTGTACATCGTTATGTGATTTAGATTATAATAAAAATGTTGAATCAATTGAGATTCATAACTGTTATTTATTAAAACAGATTAAACCAGCACAACTAACTAAATTGGTTCTTTGTGGTTGTTCAATTTCAAATCTAACTGATTTACTTCATTGTTCATTAAAAGAATTAAAGATTAATACTTCAAATATTCCTAAAACATTAGCTATTCCAACAACACTAACAAAACTTGACCTTCAAAACTGTGATGGCTTATGTGAAATTGATAACTTAAACAAATGCAATTGTTTATCAACAAAAACAAAAGAGAAATACCTCAGGTTATCAAAAAGTTCTTTAAAAAAAAGAAAGAGTGGGGTTAATTTCCTTTGAAGTTGTAATTATTTTACTACTAATCCACATTTTATTTAAATAAGTTATTTTTTTGAATCTTCATATTATATTTTCAATAATTAGAAGTACACATATATTATTGTTATTTATAACATAATATTTTTCTATTAACAATTTCCTTATAATATTATTATCTTTAAAATCCTTTAAATAATTACTTCCTTTGACTATTTAACTTTTACAAAATTTATGACTCAACCAGACCATCTCAACTAATTCGTTTATTCAACTTATTCTTATAATTTGATTACTCTCTGATAAATCAATTAATAAATTCTACTTGAATAAAAATAATTAATAAGATAGAAAATTGACTTTTTCATTATAATCATTTAGTTTATTAGATTTAGTTATATTTTTTAATTTTTTATTGTGTTAAAAATGGAAAATTATTTGTTTTTTCTATGAATTAAACTTTATTAAAATATTGAAACTTTATGGTATTAAAAGGATTTAAACTAAATCCAATCTCAAATAATATCATCAAACCAATCCTAAGATTCTCTTTTTTAAAACTTTATTTAAATTTTTATTTTACTTTTATTCTTTAGAATTTTTCTTTATTCATTACTTATTATATTCATTTGTCTAAGTAATAATAGTTTATATTAATTACCTTCAGCCTTGTTTATTAAACAAGGAAAATTTTTTCATTTATTCCATCAGATTTATGTTCTGAGAGGTAATTCATCTTTTTTAATAACAATTCATAATGAATATCTTTTTCTGGAAAGTTCTATTATTTATTTTAATTTTTAAATTATTGTGCTGTGTCTCAGAAATATCAATTAGTATTTCTTTTTGTTATAAAACATAAACCAAGAAAGATAAACTTATCATTATTCTTCATTCTAATTAATTTTGACTAAAAAGAAAATTCAAAAATCATTTTGGAAAAAATTTTCAAATAACAAAAAAAAATAACAAATTTCTGAGAAGAAAAATAAAAATTGTTAAGAAAAAACAGAAACACCTGCTTGGCTACATAAATCTTGTACCATTGATTCTAATGGAGCAATGTCATCTTTAGATAAAAAGTTAAATTCCCTACAGAAAAAGAAAAAGTGTTTGAAACTTTGTAAAGCAATATCATCCATTTTTACTTCCTTTAAATGCTCCATATGACTATAGAACATATGAGCATATACACGAAACATTCTTTTATATATTTTGGTTATTATATCAATAAACTTCTTTGGTGGCTTTTCTCCAAATTCTTGTGGAAATACTTTTTCATTATCAAATGCATTGGCAATCCATGAAAATAATTCATCACAGTATTTTTGAGCTGGTAGGCTAGTAGCTTTTTTATCAACAATCCATAAATACTCAATTGATGGACCTGCATTCATAATTGGACAAGTTGTTTCATTACAAAAGTCACTGACAGAAGAATAAATTAATTGAACTGTTTCAAAGAAATCAAAACAATTGACAGACATCCATTCATATTCATTTTGTCCTTTGGGGACTTTGACTGCATTAATCAAATCTCCAGATTTAATTCCTGCTTCTACAAGTTGTTGAATATTATATCTCAAAGTTCCTTTTTCTGATTTTTTCTTTGGTCTCATTGTTTGACCCTTTTTTGCAAACATCTTCTATTGTTGTAAAGATTTGTTTTCAAGTTTTACTTTTTTATCCATCCTTTTTTTGATATTATTCTGTTTTTAGCACTTGCTCTTATCTATTTCATTTAACAATATTTTTAACATTTATTTCTACATAAAAGTTATGACCCATGTTTTGAAATAAAAGCATTTGTTGAAGGTTTGTTGATCACCTATAAAGTATCAGATTGAAAAAGATAAAGTTTAGAAAAGAAAGGAATGAATAATATTAATGAAAATAATTAACGTTGGTATATTTTTACAATAAGAAAAATTAAAAGAATTTCTATTGTAAAAATAATCAAAAATTATGTTATAAATTATAATATATAAAACTATTTTATAAAATTATTTTAAAACCCTTAGAAATAGTAAAAAGAACCCTTTTAACTGATATAGTGCCAAAGGATGTCAAGCACTAAACAAGCCAAGAAAACCCAAGAAGGAGTTAATTCAAAACTTGCCCTTGTCACTAAGAGTGGTAAATATGTCCTTGGAACCAAAGCTACTCTTAAGACCATCCGTGATGGAAAGAGTAAACTTGTTATTATTTCTTCTAACTGCCCACCATTAGAAAGAGCTAAAATTGAATACTATGCTGTTCTTGCTAAAGTTCAAGTTGTTCACTATGCTGGTTCCAATGTTGATCTTGGAACTGCTTGTGGTAGATATTTCGCTGTCTCTGTCCTTTCAATTATTGATGGTGGAG